AAGTGGCTCGAAGCATATGCGATACCGAATCAGGAAGCACACACCATTGCTGAGAAACGTGCAAATGACTGGATTAGTCGATATGTAGTACCACTGGAATTGTATTCCGAAAAGCAGAAACTTCGAATCGGCTTTGTAGCAAGCAACTTGCAGAAGTAATGGGTATTACAAAACCGAGGAGTACTCCCTCATATCAGCAGTCTAATCTAATGGTAGAACAATGTAACCTATGAACTGGGACTGACACATACCACTATTTCTCTTAGCTTATATATCGGCCATCCGTGAGACAACTGGAACAACAGCGGCCAGTAATTTATTTGGGAAAAAACTTAGGTTGCCAGCGGAGAAAACTTTTGGTCTTCCTGGAGATTTTGCAGTATCTACAGACGGATATGCGGGCGAACAACAAGGACGACTAGAAGCCATTCATAATGCTGTGCATACGAATCTGTGATTTGAAAGCGGTCGCATGAAAACCAGATAATAAAGGCGACAAAATACGGCTATATAATTTATCAGCGCGAAAGGGACGTTGCCCAAAACTACTACAGGCTTGGGATGGTCCATATTCTGGATGATTCTAGAATCTAGAACATGACCAACCCTATAAATAGATCGAGATACGACACGATACAGAGCGAAGAGGTATTGACCAAGTATGCGATATATTGAAACAATGGTGAATTAATAATTGTAGTGTTAATTACAAAGAGCAAATTATTAAATAAATTTAATGATAGTGAGGAAAGTGTTTAAATGCGTGACGATATATTAGATAAGCTTATGGTGGTAAAGTTTTGCCCGATCGACATGTGTGGAATGCTATGTAATATGGGTCTAGGTTAGTTTATAGTATGATAGGGTTTTTTGATTAGCTTAAGTGTAGTGCTTTGAACTGAGCATATTTAATTGTAAGCTCTGTGCACCAGAGATAAGAACTTTTTGCTAATTGCTTAGGTTAGGTTATGGTACGGGTGATCGCCACGATTAAAATATACCTATGCGCTATGCCCATCCGCACAAATTTAGACAGCTTCGACTAGTGGATAATAAAACCAATTAAGTATATTGTGACTGTGCTAGAAATACTGCAGTGTTTACACATGCTTTTGCATTAGAAACTTCAAAATTTATTAAATTATCATCACGGAATTTATTTGCTAATCCTAGACCTGATAATGTATCACCTGTCATTATAAAAAATTGTAAACAATTGCCAATTCTACTAAAAATTTTCAAGAAATCATTACGTACTGGTGTTTTTCATGAGTTATGAAAATTATCCTTTATCAAACTTTTGTAACACTGGAGATGCGGCAAATATAGTAATACCATCGACCTATTTGTAAACAAAACGTGCTCTTGAAGTTGTTAATTTCTATCGAAAATTTTTTATATCTGGGCAACACGGCTTTCTTCAAGAGTTTGTAGCTTTCCGGGTCCAAGGGTTTCTCAATCTTCTTGTTGTAGTCTTCGATTTTCAGAAGAACGGTTGCGTTATCATACTTCCAGTCAATAAATCTCAATTTGGATTCACTATATTGTTCTCATCTGTGTAATTTATCCATAATTGCTTAATCTTGTGTATCACTTCTTATTATTTATAATCGTCTGCTTATTTGCATATTTATCTCTCTGTGCATTAAACATCTGACTGCGAATGTTTAACGTAACAATATAATTTAGAATGTTCTCGAGCTTTTCTGGAATAGAAATTCCGGAACCTTCTCGTAATTCATTTGTGTTGTACTCGACATAGGTACGTACGATTTATGACCAGCTCTCTGAATCGTCGTCGCTGCAAAGGGGTCTCACCTGCAGTCACGTTTGTAATAAAATCAATAAAACAATAATTATCATTGGTTTTCGGAATTCCGTAGCTAAATACCCATTGTGTCGTTTTTTCAAGTGTTATATTCAATTTCCGCTATTACTTTATTAATTTGATACTGCAGACTATGTTGATCCATAAATGCAGCCTTTAATAAAATCCTAATAGAGAGTATACTTGATTATGCCGAAATATGTACCTACGTATAATTATCATAAATTATGACACACTTTTTTTAGACAGAAATGGAGGAGGGGCCAGACAGTTTTATACCTTTGTATTCGATTTGAGTTAAGACCAGAGAAACATACATATAATGACTTCATTATTGGACTACACTGCAATTTTATGTTTTAGGAATAATAGATTTATTTATTACGTCAAATACATATTGTCTGTGGTGTGCACGCAGAAAAATTTTGCTTAATATTTTTTTTTCTGTACCTACTAAGCAAAGTCGTGTCTCAATGCAAACATGAATAATGACATCTTATTGGAGTAGTAATGAAAGAAAAAGAGAAGACATCCTTAAAGTTGATAAAAAAACATGACATTAAAAATATTTTCGAACAAAATAATTTGAAGTGGTCTGTATTCTGTCGAAACTGCCTGACGCGGTTCGCGATGTCGATCTTTTTGGATCTCATCAGTGCGTCGCAGGTAGCTCCGACAGAACACAGACCAATTTTTACCTGTTGTCTTAACAGCGCGTTTTATATTTCTTATTTTTACTGCGCCATTTGTGGTATTTTACATAAATAATTTGTTAGAAAAAAAGTCTCTCTAGTTGACAAAACTAAAAAATTTAAAATTTCAATCTTTTTGCTTGTAAGGAATTAGTCTTCCTAAAATTTGTTTCAATATTATAGAAAATGATATATCATAGGATGTGTTCCTCTACTTGAACAATGAAGAAATAAAGGAACTGTTACCAAGTTGTTTAGATATGAGAAAAATAATTTCTCTAAAACTTTTAGAATTACGAGTATAACAAGTAAATTAACGTTCATAAGTAATTTTTGTTTCACCGCATAAATCGCAAGAAAACAACTCCACTTCTTTATTAACAACCACTGAATCAGTAAAGGATTTGTAAAGCGGCAGGTATTAACGATGAAACTAAAAAAATTCGGAAAATACTTTTTTTAATTTTAATATGCTTGACCTTTTAAATTTTCAGTTACTGTTTCCAGATTTTAGGAATAGTATATTAAAATATTACAGTATTAACAATCCTTTAGATAATACCCGTAGATTAACATTGGTGAATATAATTAT